AACTAGGGATTGGAAGTCCCTCCGTCATGTGGCACCCGGGTCTCGAACTGCTGAACTACTGACCTTCCACAGCCTGCAGTTCAGCGTCTTAACCACTTGAGCCACCGCAGCTCCTTTACTTTACTTTAGAGATGAGTATTTGTGCTCTGTTCATCTGAGCCCCTAGTGCAGTGGTGGCGAACCTATGGTGCACGTGCCAGAGGCAGCACTCAGAGCCCTCTCTGTGGGCACGCGTGCCATCGCCCCAGCCAGGCCCAGACCACCATTAAAGTGTGGAATTCTCTGCCAAATAATTGTAAGTAAATGAAAGCATTTGGGATTGCTTTCCTTACTTTGTTTGGATCATCTTATGTTAATGTATGAGTTCTTTTTTCTAAACTTAAACTAAAACTAAAAATTCAGTTTAAATTGCTGAGTTGGCACTTTGCGATAAATAAGTGGGTTTTGGGTCGCAGTTTGGGCACTCGGTCTCTAAAAGGTTCGCCATCACTGCCCTAGTGTTTACTTCCCTCTCCAGCACTGGAAGGCCTATCTGCATAGTTTTGTCAACCGGCAATACAATTACCCCACCACAGCAAGACGGTCTCACTGTAGCGCTCAAGTGCAGATCTGCAGGACTACTCTGAAAGGGCGTCATGATAGCTGTCAAGGGCAAGAAGAACCTTTCCATTTGGGGTCTGACTGCCTGGTTGTCTATGCACATCTGGTACAAGTCTGAACTAGTGGAAATAAGAGGCAGGCATGATTATTTGGATTGTCATGTAGTTCCTCTTGCCTCCGGTAGGTGTCACCACCTTTCTGTTGCATAGAGGCAGTGGCCTACATGCCTGTTCTGAGGAGGGGTGTGTGTGTCGAAAATCCTATTTTAAACCACAACAGCTTGATATATATGTTATGCAGCAGCGAACTTGGGTTTGCCATCAAGTGTACCTTCCTCAGACAGCTGCAGCCAATCCCAAATTCCTAAGGAGTGCAGTTGGACAGCACATTTTGTTGTTCAGTTGACAGACAAAAGTTTATCTCACTTTTCTATCACTCTTTTATGCGTAGGCTTGATGACAGCACATGGTTTTACAGGCGGCTGTAAACAGGCCACCTTGTCTGCTTTTTCTTCCATGTTAACAGCAATCACAGTAGACGTAGGGTTGCCAGCCTCCAGGTGGGGCCTGGAGATCTCCCAAAATTAGAAGAAGAAGAAGAGGAAGAGATTGGATTTATACCCTGCCC